ATATGACTTTGCAGGATGCCACAATACATCCTACGCCATGTTTAAATCATACCTCACATATGACATACATCATATATAATTCTAAAGCTTTTAAAAATGATAAATACAGCATTTGAAGAAAAAAAAATGGTCTGTTTGGAGCCAGAAGGGTGTTAAAATCATATCATTTTACCCGGAGTTAAAATGTAATTGCCTTCTGGGTCCAAACAGAGATGATTGGTAACTTGAGTCACTTTAATAAGTTAATAGATTGATACAATTTGACATCTTGTATCATTAAATAAGGGTGGCTTGTTAATTCAAGATATCTCAATAAATACAAATATCTAAGATATACAAAGTACCAATCGTCAAAATGCACAAAACGTACATTGTCTTATGCATTTTTGCCCCATTTGGTACAGGGCATAATTACAAATTTACAATTTACAGAGCTATCTTACACTGTACAGGTTTTTCTTTTAACAAGCTTTTCATTTTCTCATTTAGTACTGCATTTTATGTTGAAAAATCTAAATTTTGCAACGTGCTACAGACAACAGACATTTAAAGGGACTGTTACAAATGACAATATCTAATCCAGTTTGCAGCTCTTAACTTAATATTCTAAAGATTTTACTTCTGATCTTTGCTACAAACAATATGCTTCATGTAGGTGCAAATTAACAGTTCAATATACGTACTATCACTTTAAATAATGGCATAATGTATAAATGTAATTTGGACCTTTTTTTCCATTTCTCCTTTAAAAAAGAAAGATGGAGAAAGATTATATAAAGCAAATAAGACACCTTTGCTTTTTTTAAATAGTTGAATGACATAGCTACAAATGATGTAATGTTCATGTAATGATCTTGTATTACCATACTTTTTATTTAAAGGGAATAGTATCTGAAAAAAAGGCAAGATGATACCATAATATGGTGAACTGAATGTTTCCAATAATCAACATCATATTTCAAATACCACAAAGGAGAAATAATAACATAACATCTAACTATCGACATCATTAGAATAAAAGGTAAAAGTTCAAATTTTTATAAGGTGTGCACGTACAGAGAACATTCTTTCATGTGTGTGTATTGTGTTTTTACAGACGTGCATCAATCAGATATGATTATTTACGTCTGGGGACCGACCTTTAAACGTCACCATCCGAAAGACGTGACCCAGTTTCGAACCTGCGTCCTCGGCTGAATCAGTTTGTAACTTCCACTTTTAGCTGCATTACAGGCACACGCCACATCATAAGTTTTATAATTCACTAAAACAGACAATAATTTGCGATGTAGCGTTACACGGTATTTCATTCCAATTTTAGCAAACTTTGCCTGAAAAAGGGGGCATTTTTTTGTAATACATTTGTAAACCACAAGCATGAATAGCATGTCAACAGAAATCTGGAATCTTGCATAAGCTTTAGAAAATTTACACCTTTTTCTATGGATGCATTCAAGTTAATAAGCATATATTTTTTTAATTGAAAGAGAACATAGATAACAAATAGTATGATCAGAGAAAATAATTAGAAGGGAAATGTGGCACTCATTTCCATATACTCCCTCTTTAATATTCAAAGTGCATTAAGTAATCTTTACAGCATTAGTTTCCAAACTGTAAGTTATTATTAAACATCAACAATTTTGGTCACTGAATGCAGTAAAGTGAAAAATCAAAAATTAGATTCATGCACCTTTTGAAAAGTTAAGACAAGTCAACTGACATTTCATTAGAACCCTTTAGATAGGAAGACAAACCACTTACGCTGCATTGGTGAGATTACACAACTTCAAATGTATTCAAAGGCAGGGTATTCTACTGACCTTAATTCAGATTTAGGTATACCGCCATCTTCTGCTCACAATGTCCTGATGTGTTGACAGCAATGTCCCACAATGCATCACCAACTGATGACACTTGCACGATGCTTGGGTACATAACCGGAAATCGCACTATGTACGCCTTCACCAAACGATGGCGCAATTGAAAATACTTCACAGTGGTGGAAGCGATGTCAGTAAAATACCCTGCCTTTATACTCTAAACACATTGGCCAGTATTCATAAAAAGCAGACAGAGAAATGGCTTGGTTCTTTGGTTTATGCATGGTCTTTTGAGAGCTGATAAGAAAATGATAAACGGTATATTATGAACAGATCCATTCAAGGGGATGCTCAGGGCCAAGCTGTCATATGGTGCTGAAAGCATTCAAGGAACATCAACTTAATACCAGGTAACCATTCACTACACCCGGGTTAAGAGAGGCAAATGTAGATTACTGTCGTGCTTAAAGGACATTAGTGCTTGTCCATTCCTTAGTGACATGAATAAACAAAATGGATTCAGTCACAAAATCAAATGAAAAATTAATTTAATAAAATTAATTTTAAAACCTATTTTGATTACAGAATTTACAGAATAATTGTCACTGGGTATGGGAGAAAAAGGTTGATAATTGGTGCTTTGCAAATTCGTGAACTAGCTCGACCCCCTTAATCCTGGTTTATTTCTGGACCAAAACCTATCATGCTTTTATGAATACCGGCCAATCTTTTTACTTTCTACAAACTTATAATACAATCTTATCAGCCTCTTGAGAAGAAAAAAAATATATAAACAAAAAAATGAATATAAACAAACTGTACATATTATTGCACATAGGTTAGAGGTCAAAGGGCATGGTCATGGGGTCAGCTCTGGTCAATGTCAACTGCACATGCTGCCACGTCACAAACTATAAACCTCCCCCATGACCACGCCTACTTTTAAATGTTTTACATTTTTACATCTACGTGTATGAAGTCTTGTTTACATATGCCATGGCAAACTGCAGGGTTTTTTCTACACACACTCGTCATCGTTGTTTAGTGTCAGTTTTTACCGAGCTCTGGGGTTGGAGGTTTCATTTCCTTTTAATAATGGCTCTTCTCCAGGCCTCCTGGGGGGCGTTTCACAAAGCTTTTTTTTTCAATGCAAGTGACAAAAATCAGTGACAAATCTGCTGATAACCAATCAGAAGCAAGGATTTCAGTAGCTTATAACAAAAACTGTCATTTGTCACTGATGACAAGTTATGTGAAAAGCCCCCCCCCCCCCCAGTCTTCAGCAACTGCCTGGGCGAGGTCATGGGGTCTGTGTGGAGCCAGAAGGGCATTAACTCAGTGTTAAAAGATATAACGTAATGCCCTTCTGCCTTTCAAGAGACGATATGCTTTCATATCTTCTTCTTCACATTTTTGTACCTTATAATCTTAGTGAGTACATGTAGGATCGTTTTTCAATCCCCACTCCCCTTTTTATTCACCAATAATAGACCAAAAAAATGTGGTGGTTTACAGTGGCATAAGTGGATATACCTTATAAAAAGAGGGAAATAAAGTATCTGTACTCATTATTACCATATACACATTCCCTTTTCCAATTTAAAGTATTTTTGTGATTTACTAACCAAACAAAATCAACTGTAGGTAATTTCAGGAACACATTTACGCTTCCACAGCAAAACTGTGTGAGTTGTACAGCAAAAATAGGCCCAATGGTAATATAAATAAATATTTAGTTAATTAAGTATCTTTACTCCCATCATGAAATGGAAGGCATTGCTACTTTTGTCTAATGAAGTAAATTTATACAGCAGATAAAGTGAAAATAAATATTGATCCCTGCATACACTAGAAACAACCAAAAAGGTAACTACAAAGGATTATTTTGTAAGGTTTACTGAATGATTCTAAAAATGGCCCAAAAGAGAATGATTCTTAATACAGTAATTGATAATAGAAATTAATTTGAAGCACTGGTTTAAAGAACATTACAATAAGTTTATATGATACCAGGAATTGGATACTATGTGCCATGAAGTTATGAACCACATGTATGTGTGTCTTTGCATGTTCTTCATAATTCATTTTGTAGAATTAATACCAATATATTTTTATAAACATGTTTTAACAGGCTAAATTTGCTTCAGCTTGCGACTATTCACAATGAACATTTTGATTTTACTTTTAAGGAGCCTGGGCTCCATCAAAAGCCATCAACCAGGGACCCGTTTCACAAAGCCTTTTTTCAATGACAAATGACAAATATCAGTGAAAAATCTGTTGATAACCAATCAGAAGCAAGGATTTCAGTAGCCTATAACAACAACTGTCATTTGTCACTGATGACAAGTTTGGGAAACACCCTCCAGTTGGTACCAAAGAGATCAGTCTATCTCAAGAAGCATCCCAAAGTAGACGTGAAAAGTCGCAAGTTTCAACAAAGTAAAGCCAGGGCAGCTTCTCACAAAACCGTCTTGGGTACAAGTCCAGCTGATACCTCATTAAAATGCATTCTATAAAATAAACTTGCAGATCAATGTGATATTAGAAAACTTTCACTGAACTTATGACTTATGACAATTCCATGAACGAGTGTCCATTTGACTGTCTTATAGCAAAGTATTATATATGAATATGTGACAAATAAAAGATGAGATTGAAAATAAGATATTAAAGAAGGCTATGGAAACATACAGGGTGTACATAAATTTGAATATGAAGGACCAGTACTACTGCAAAAACTGACCAAACCTAAAACATATAATGTATGCAATAGACTAATAAGGACCAGAATTAATGCAAAAACTAACCAAACTTGAAACATACGTGTAGGGAAATTTGACTTATAAGGACCAGCACTACTGCAAAAACTGACATTATTTGAAACATACAGGGTATGTCAATAGAATTATAAATACCAGAACTAATATAAAAAGACCTTACACAAGTAACATGCAAATAGACTGATATAGGCCAGGACCGAGACTAGGACATAACAATTCCTACTCAGGTCCTGGAGCTATTATCAAACACACCATAAATGAGGTTGAAGTACAAGAGTCCTGGTCCAAGAGATCGGACCAGGAACTTCACACTATTTAGACTAGGAACTCACACACACATCACATATAGAGAGCTGCTCCAGACTACTACTGTATAGTACCATGGCAGACAAATGGAAGCACCATAGGTTGGTTGTCATGACGATAAACGAGCCGTCGCATGTTGACGTCACGGACCAGTCACGATTAGAGAATCACTCAAAGCTCATCAGGTTAGCAGGCGTCTAAGTTGAAAAGAAAATAAGATGATGGAAGTTTCATTAGACATATTGACAACTCACATACAGTCAAATCTGCTTACCGGTAAGTATCTAACTGCATACAAAAATCCCCTATGCCCCTCAGGGAAATAATTCATCTATCCTGCTTTTTTTCCTTTATTCTTCAGTTCCTTCTTTGTTTTCTTCTGCATTTTATTTCTTTTATCATGTCAATCTCACTAGTGAATGTCTGGTAAAGTTTATATTTGCCTAGTTTACATTGTAATATTTGCATGTATTTTATACGTTACAGTTTTATTTGTAAATTAATGATGTGTCAGCTTTTAGCTGTGACTTTTGTATCAATAAACCTTGTCAGCTCAATTCTATCTTGGCTCCCTAATATTAAACTAGAGTCTCGAATCATGGCACTATTTATACGTATCTTATCAGTTTCTCTATTACAATTTTTTTCGGGGATTTTGTTTTGTTTTGTTTTGAACATTCAGATTACATAAAAGATAAGGCAACAAGAAGAAAAAGCAGGGATACCAGTTGGACTGACTTTAAACTTTATGAAAAGAGACTCGCACATGTCGAGGGCTCATATGTTCTACAATATGGAGCCTAATTTTTGTTGACAGTACAGGTTTGCATGGCGAGAACATAACTTTAAGAGTAGATTTGAGGTAAAACTAGTCCTTAAAGCTTGTCTGCACTAACATGGCAAGGAGGGATTATACCTCCCTGCATGGTCACTGACAGGTGGTCATCTCTTCAAATCAGCTCTTAATTAACATAAGAAAAAGGGGATCATGGGGGACCAACGGGTACTGCGTAGGCATTGTTGCTATATAGAGGGCACAAGTAGCGATAAATAGTGCAGTGGGGCTTTAAGGACTATCCACATGGTTGTACTTCAAATCTACTCTCTATATGGAACCTGAAGCGCCTTATAAAGCCCGAAACAAAGAGATCGTAGGGCTTGAAATAAGGCAAAAACCTGAAAACGGGTATCCCCAAGGACATACCTTTGGTCCTCTCTTTTTCTTTGTAGCTTCGTCAAGATTCCTGACCCACGCACAAGCCACCGAGTAGCTCTGTGCTTTGTACTTGTAGCTGTTACCTGAGGGAGAAAAGAAGACACAAGTTTTTATTAAAAGAATGTTTAAAGATAAAGTTGTTTTCTGGCCCGTTTCATGTCAGGCAAGGAAACCAAGCTCGGGCAATGATATCTGTGTTATGTTAGTAATGCATCAAAAAGACTATATCATGATATGTGCTGTAAACAATAACTTATCCTTGAAATTAATGTCAAACCTGCTTTAGTGACCACCTGTATGGAAAGACCACCTGTCTACAAAGACCACATTTTTTGTTTCCCTTGACAATGGTTTCTCATTGAAACATGTACTAAAGGAACCTGTACATACATGTAAAGACCACCTGCCTATAAAGACCACTTTTCTTGTCTCCCTTCGATGGTCTTTATAGACACGTTTCACTGTATCATCATTCTGATGTTACTACCCTAGGTAATTGCTAAATGCCTACAAAGATTGCTTCCTGTGGGACTACATACCTGTATTTGGATCTGTTAATAATATGACGTTACTGTGTTTGGTTTCGGGCATGGAAACCATCCAGTCTGAGATGGAAAACACCTTGCAAGGCTTGGATTTGAACTGGAGAGAAGAAATAGCAAAGAATGAAAGATGAGTTAAATACATGTATACTGAATTTCATTTTGTTTATGTATAAAAGTATGGATGAAAACTTAAATACAAAACAGTTTTGCAGGATGAGTAGACTCTTTATGGAACTCACTCACTCCCTCCCTCCCTCCCATCATTCCTTTGCTCTTTCCCCTGCCTCCATCCCTCCTTCCCTGTCTCCTTTGCTCCTCCCCCTGCCTCTATCCCTGCCTCCTTCCCTCACTCCCTCCCACACTCCTCTGCTCCTCCCCTTCCTCCATCCCTCCTTCCCTGTCTCCTTTGCTCCTCCCCCTGCCTCCATCCCTGCCTCCTTCCCTCACTCCCTCCCACACTCCTCTGCTCCTCCCCTGCCTTCATCCCTCCATCCCTGCCTCCTTCCCTCACACACTCCTCTGCTCCTCCCCTGCCTTCATCCCTCCATCCCTGCCTCCTTCCCTCACTCCCTCCCACACTCCTCTGCTCCTCCCCTGCCTTCATCCCTCCTTCCCTGCCTCCTTTGCTCCTCCCCTGCCTCCATCCCTGCCTTCTTCCCTCACTCCCTCCCACACTCTTTTGCTCCTCCCCTGCCTCACTCCCTCCCTCCCTCCTTTGCTCCTCCCCCTGCCTCCATCCCTGCCTCCGTCCTTTGCTCTTCCCCTGCCTCCTTCCCTCAATCCCTCACTCCTTTGCTCCTCCCCTTCCTCCCTCCCTCACTCCTTTGCTCCTCCCTCACTCCTTTGCTCCTCCCCTGCCCCCATCCCTGCTTCACTCACTCCCTCCTTTGCTCCTCCTCTGCCTAACTACCTCCCTCTTTTGCTCCTCCCCCTCCCTCGTTCCTACCTCCTTCCCTCAACGTCCTTTATGTACTTGGCCACACAGATTTACCCAACTCATTCTCACACCCAACCCTATCCCCCACTCACGTGTGCTCTCTCTATTGAGTTGAAGGACTTGGCTGCGTAGTGGACCAGGTTGGTGCCCCATAGACCCACCCAGAACCTCCTCCTTCCTCCCTACTACCCTTAACCTCCTAGAGATTTACCACCCCTCCAACACATACTTTATCACACAGTGTTACCTAAATCATTCTCTAACCCATCCATCCCCACTCACATGTGCTCTCTCTATTGAGTTGAAGGACTTGGCTGCGTAGTGGACTAGGTTGGTGCCCCACAGACCCACCCAGAATCTCGTCCAAGACGTCACCGATAGCTTGCGGCCGGCTTTCCTGATCGGTTTCCTCTTCAGGCAGGCTGGGTGTCAGACAGGTAAATCAACAAAGAGATATGAGAGATACGCCAAGGATGTGGTCCATGAATAATACAAGCACTCAACAACAATGGAATATTTTTTCTTTCTTTTGACATGAAACTAAACAAAGGTAGGGACTTTCAAATGTATAGAAAGCATATTTACAATGTATATAATCTGATAATTTTTCTTCGTATATTATATTTTAAAAGTTAGGTACACAAATTCTTCAAAATGAAAAATGTCTTGCAACTACAAAACTTGTTAGGAAACATGTACATTAAATTTTAATAACTTAATTCTAAAGTCTAACTAATGATTTTGTAAATAACTGAGGGAAAATAGACCTGAATCCTGAGAAAAATATACACATCTACATACAGCCAGTTTCATTAAAATTATCTTAAAATGTGTATACACTCTTAAAAGTGTCTGACTAGATAGTACTCCATATTAATTTCATTACACATTTCTGGTATGATTGTAACTCACCATTTAATGTAAATAAGTTCTGAGGGATGTCGATGATACTGGAAACTAGATCCTCACAGCTCTCCGTAACACTCCTTTATAAAAATAAACAGAAATTATAGTTGCCTTTATTGCCTTTCTCTAAAAGAAACTTTACAGGGGATAAGAACAATCCTGTGAAAGGCAGAACTGCAGATCTGTATAGCATTTCATATTACTCCAAGGACCATTATTTTATTGCATTGTAATTTGTATAATATTATATATGAATGTTATTACAATTTTAGACAAGCACATGCATGATTTGATTTCCGTTATGTGCGTATCAAATTCAAAAGTCAGAAATTCCAAGACTTAAATTGGAGTTTTGCAGGAGTACCTGCTATCACGAAATGCTAAAAACTAAACTTTGACCAGATACACTTTTATTGTGCTCTAATTGAAAATAAAATCACGCCATGTGACATTTTCACGCTTTTATGGTGTTGTGTTCACATATGGATTAATATGGGATTGGTATCATTCATTTTCCCTTCAATACCCCATTTACCCCCCCCCCCCCCAAGTCCCAAAGTCAGTACAAAGACTATGGTAATGATAATTAATTCTTGCCCTTTTAACGTTTGAATGTTGATAGTAGACATCTGCGGGAGTGCCTTGCAATGAGAAGCCATTGCGACTATTTAGGAGGTTTTACTCACCCGTTATTTAACCACACATCCTGGTCATCACTGAACTCTGACCCTTCACTGCTTCCTGTGGTTGTAGAATTTAAAGAGAGAGAGAGAGAGAGGGAAAGAGAGAGAGAGAGTAAACAGATTAAATTATTTGCAATATCTTTTTTCTCTTTGCCTCTTCCATCAGTATTTTTTTTCTCACTATATTTACATGTTATACATATTTACAAACATATACAAAACATAAACAATATTTATCAAATGTTAACAATGGAATATTTGCAATATAGACTGTTGGTTTCAATCATTTACTTCATGATTATGAACTTTATTATTCCATGAAAGTCTGTCAATTATAACGTCCCTTGGGTAAAGAGTAGAAACCTTCAAGTGCCTAAAATAGAGATATAATCCTTTTCTTGGCACTCAGTTGAAATTAATAAACTAAAAAATATGAGTGCTTGCAAAAGAAAATTCCTTCTAACCAAAGCATTAACAAAGACTGTTTTTTGTTGTTCTTTATACTCATGATGAATATTGTAATATTTCCCTATATTCTGTAATCTTTTATTCAACTTGTGTCCATGTTTCTTTTCCCCCTAATGTTACCGTCATTCTCATAAAGTATTTTAGTCTAATTGGTCTGTATTGTTTTCAATTGATGTTACTCCGTTGTTTATATTTTTGTTATTTTTATTGAGAGCAAAAATAAAGACTGAACTGGGGGGGGGGGGGGGTGTTTCACATAGATCCCAAGTTGAACTTATCTCTAAGTTGGACTTAAAAATTATGGAAAGCCGTTAGCATCTATGAAATATTTTGTAAAAGTTATATTAAAAGGCATAAAATGTTGATTCAAATCTTTCATATTTTCTATTATCAAGGAGATTTCATGTTCTGGATGTGGAACGAATAAAAAGTCTAAAATACTTTAATTTTCGCTTTTGAATATATTTTATTTTAAGGCTGCAAATGGCTCTCCATAGTATTTAAGTCCAACTTAGAGTTAAGTTTGACTTGGGATCTTTGTGAAACACCCCCCTGAACTGATTGTGAAATTTACCTTCCATTGATTTACCTTCTATTGAGCTTGATACGGAGGGTCTTATCGATGACGTCGTCTCCTCTAGCAGACTGTCGTCCAGGAGGTGTCTGGGACCATTGCCAAAATTTGTGTTGGGAAAGCTGGGGGGGGGGGGGATAACACAGAGAAAAATTCATGACATGTGCTTAATTAATTAAGCTCCTCATTATGACAAACATTCCTTCATAGCAGTGAATTTGGCATTTTAATGAAACTACCGTAAATCTCCGCGTATAAAGCTATGGTCACAAATCAGAGCAGCGACCGACCGATCAGTAGCCTGCTCTGTCGCTGCTGGAATTAGGCATCGCCCAGCGATTAGGTCGGTGCCCGGGCGGCGACCGCCCAGGCACCGAGCTTATTTTGGGCGGCGAGTGAAAAGTGAGCAGGCGCCGCCCAAATTTTAACTCCGCGCTAAAACTTCAGCGGCGACCGAGCGATGCCCTAAAAACGAGCGGTGCCTGGACGGCAGCCGCCGGGCAGAATTGGTTAAAAACTCGCCGCTCGGCCGCTGAGCAGTCTACTTTTGGGTAATGTGACCATAGCATAAGACGCACCTGTGTATAAGGCTCACCCCTATTTTTTTTTTTTTTTTTTTTTGGGGGGGGGGGATTCGTGCTTGTGAACTTGTCACAAATAATAGTAACAATGTCGTTTTTAGAGGAATGTGTAAGATCATTAATGTAAAATAAAAACAGTAGAGTACCTAGGATAGACCCTTGTGGTATGCCGTGTGTAATAGAAGAAACATTTGAGGAATTATTGTTATAAACTACTACATATTAAGATCTATTAGAAAGATTACTTTCAAACCAAGATGACAGACAAATTTGAGTGTTGTTCTAGTTTCCGAGTGGTGAGTCAACACACAGATTACTGAGCTGGGAGACATTGCCAGGCAGAGCAACAGGTGGAGGGGCATAAATCGAAACTTAAAAAAAAAGACGCACCCATGACTTTCAATTTTTTTCGGCGGCAAAAAAGTGTGTCTTATTCACAGAGATTTATGGTATAGTTTTAATGACCATAATAATAAAGAAATTTGTATCCCTTTAGTGTGACATACAATATACAGATAGGCATAAACATGATATTGTATGCTAAGAGCCAAATAACACACTTGGTTTATATTATCTTTACATGTAAAAAGAAGATTCCTATAGAAATAACCTTAGGTAGTGTTCGACGATACTATGGTTAATCATAACAAAAAGGGAGACGTACCGGTACTATATTTTGTATTGGTTCATTTTACAAAACTCCTCACAGAAAGTTGCTAATACCACAATTAATTCATTTTATTTTTACAGATCTTCATTGAAAATTGAATCTACTACTTTATTATGACTGAGTGTTTATTTCTATTCAAGAAGACACATGTATGTCTGTGTGTGGGCTTAATGTTCACTACAAGAAACATATGAACACAGAAACTTACCTAAGAGGTTCTGCAGGTGCTAAGTGGTTCGGAACACTGGGTAAAATAAAATGAACACAAACATGTTAAATAACAGATTTAAGAAGAAAATAAATTGCTAGAAATCTGCAGTTATGAGGTTCATGATACCTTCCGTAAGATTAAAAAAAATCATACGATTACGATTTAAAAATCCAATCCTGTGGAAGAAATGGACATACACATTATATTCACAAAAAGAAACATTTGTTAAAATATCTACATGCATATGTATACCTTGTTATAACAAGAGCTACTTCTCTGAAATTAAACATAATTAAACATGAAAGAAGTATCAAATATACATTATTTGTATAATAAATTTACATGTACATGAAGGTCAATTCATCATGTCAACCTTAACATCAATAGGCTTCCAAATAATACTGTGTTTACTGTCACACAATTATAGTTGGAATGTCTGAGAATGTACAGATCAAAAGGAAAAGTTTGAAATATTCTTCCTCATGTACACATACTTGGATGTTTCTGTTTAAATGGAGCACTGCGACAAAACATAGTTCTAAATTAGTTACTGCTTACTTTGCGCCTAAGCTTTTTGTTTTCCGATGGCCGGGTACAAACTTTGATGAGATGACTGGCGTGGATGGGGTTGACTTGCCTATCGAACTCGTCTTCACACCTCCTCCTCCTCCGCTGTCTACAGAGGGCAGAAGCACAAATAAAGAGAATTTTAAATACTTCATACAAATCGTAAGAGACAGAGAAAAGGGGAGATGATACACATATTGATAGTTATTCAAATTAATATAACAGTGTCAGAATGAATATTTATATATTTTTTTTTAATTAAAAAAAATATCTTTTAAAACTTTTTATTTATACTGATTTTAATATGAATATGAATATTCATTTTTCACATTAACATGATATATATTTCATTCTTTTGTTGTAGCATCAAACTTTGGATTTCTTTTTTTTTCTGGCGCAAAACAATCTCCGTCATCAACACCATATCATGTTGATGAAATGGTTACATAAAGAAAAGCTTACGTATGGATTTTGCAAAAACTTATGGATATCAAAATTATCATCAAAATAACTTACTACAATGACACAAATTGTATATTTGAGAAACATGTATAAAACAATACTTTTGAAAACTAAAGAATTTGATATTTTATCCACAAATATGTTTCCATTTAGCAGTTGAACTGAAATTACCGGTACACTGTTGAAGCTACAAGAGAATAATATTAAATTTGTTTTATTAAGTTATTATTATTTTCAAAACACAATCATTACGGTAATTATATCAAAATAACTTCATATCCTAAAAAACAAACGTGACTTTATATGATTTGCATTTGTTGTTGTATTTTCATAATATGTACAGATGTATCATTTAAAAGCAATTAATGTTAGAGGTGGTACATGCATATGGTATACAAAACAATCCAAGTTATATAAACTTGAAGCAAAGCACATTCAAATATATATGATTTCCTGCATTCACCCACTCATGCAAGGCATCACAATCCCATTGGGTGAATCAAGCTCACTGATGCTATTAATATTAGGTCATGAGATAAGTTTATGCAGCATTACCAGACCTCACCTTTAAAGTGTACCAAGCACTTAAACAAGATATTAGCTCTGTATTTTAGGGGTTTCATGCCGCTAAATTTGTATGAGCTCTGAATATTACTTCTATAACAAATAATGCAAGTTGTACACTCTCAATTAATATAAAAACAATTTGTGAATAAATATGAGCTCAAAACATTACTTCTATAAAGAAAAAACAAAGTTTAGATAACTTTTCCACTCTTAATTAACATTAAAACAACTTGTGAATAAATATGAGTGCCAAATGTTAATTCCATTAAGAAGAATTGCAAGATTTGTACACTCTCAACTAACAAAAAAAAAGAAGAATTGTTACGGTAAATAGATAGTCAATGCACTTGTATAGAATAAGGCTTGTACAGAACACAAGGCCAATTTGTATTCCGTGCACAAAATATTATGTTATTCTTTCTATTCTTCATGCTTCCTAAATGTGAACACTGAGTTTGAAACTGATTTCATTCATTCTAGCGGTACACAAACTAATGTTTTTAGGTGATAGGTACACTTTAAAGCAAAGGCATAAAATGGAACATTTCTTTCATTCACACCCCGCATGCAAGGCATCACACAATCCCCTTGAGTGAATTGAGCTCAATGAGGCTTAATATATGCAAGCTATTATTAGGTCACAGGGTAATTTTAGGCAACAGATTAATCACATCGCCACACCCCCTCATGGGTTCGTTTTGAAAACAAGGGTTATTTCGGAAGCGTGATGATGGGAAGCGGTTGAGTCAGGCGGAAAGAATAAGGGCAGATGTATACAGGCGTTGAGATAGTGACATGAGGCTGAATAAAGCGTTGATGAATTTCTTTGCATTTGACAGGAATAATGATTAATTACATGTACACCAGTTCACAAACCCAATGCCTTATTTATGTATTTTGATTTATACATGTGTGCTTAATTGTCAGGGCTCACAAGGCATCAAGCTACGCTTATCTTGGAGCCCTGGCCGGTTCTGTTTAAACTATTAAAGTTTATAAGTTTATATTTTTCCATGTATGTTTTAATGTATACTGATTTTATTATGTACCGGTATTCAGAACTGAAAAAAATACAAATGAAATAAAAATGTTACCTGAGAGTCAATTACAGTCAAACCTGCTTTAGTGACCTCTCTACAAAGACCATATTTTGTGTATCCCTTGAAAATGGTTTTTCATTGAAACATGTACCAAGAGGAACCTGTACATAAAGACAACCTGCCTGTAAAGACCACTTTTCTTGTCTCCCTTGGGTGCTCTTTATAGACAGGTTTAACTGTACTATGTATTAACCCACTGTCTACTGGAAACGGGTTGTCCCTGTATTAAAACTATGGAGATTAGAGATTTCAGTAGTCCATGGTTATAATCAATACCGTGCTTCTAAAGTTCTAGCTATCGAGATAATGTGATGAATGCCACGCATGAGCAGTTGTTAGACAGGCAGAACTGAGGCATACAGACATTGGGACGGTAAAATGGTTCTGGGTTATGTAATGTTTAATTTCTTTTTGCATTTGAAGAATGATTCAACGTTTTGTTCTGCTGAGAACAGGCAGGGTGTTAACTCTGTGTTTAAATGAATAGCTTCCTTGTGACTATTAGCAGAGGATGTAGAGTGGTAATGAATGCAATCCACGAGTCATGAGAGTTAGATTTACATTATGTAATGAGATTAGAAGGATCATCAAAATGTCTGCCGCACTAATCGACAGTCAAGCAAACATTCAGAAGAAACTAAGATTTTAAAATTCCCTTTTTTATTGGATAATCATTGCAAAACATAGAAAATAGGCATTGTTATTCATATATATTACATTAAAAAAATGCTTTTAATGACATAGACAGATATTGAAGACCCTAAAGGATTGTTCAGACATGCACAGTATACGGCCGCAAAAACGCTGCCACGTCTTTTACATGTAAATGAATGGCAACAGCGGGCAGCAAAGGATTAGCGCATATTCATTGAGCTTTGTGGTATAAGATACAAAAATGTGGAGCATTTTACACTTTACATCATTATTGAAGAAGAAAAAAAAAACGCTGCAGTTTTGCCACGTCATATCTAAACAAGCCTTAAAGGTATTACAAAGTTTTGGTATGGGGTCATGAATTTTGTTCAAATTAACATATTGGAAGCATTTGCGATCCTACAATATTCATTGATTGTTGTCGCGGTTGAAATCGAGTCTAAAGTTATGAAATTATAAATAATAAACACTTTATGTTGTATAGCTCCCTCTCAAGGTCAAGATATTAATTAAGCTATGAAACAATGTTTCTTGACTAAAATCGACCGATTAGCTATTCCCATTTGGAAATTATATATCACAACTACATATTCTGAGAAACAATGTTTCTTGACTAAAATCGACCAATTAGCTATTCCCATTTGGAAATTATATATCACAACTACATATTCTGAGATTTTCATGGTCGCAGCTACCATTGTACGGCCATAGGCGCTATTTGAAATTTATCAAAATTTACTGGGAGCACCGGTAAATTTTTATATTCAATTTTTCTCGAAAACAGAAGTGTTTTACGGGCTAATTTTTTTAGTGCTTATAATACATCCACAGGGGCATCCAAATATATCAAAATTGTAAAGACTCACTATCCACCCAATTTTCAAAATTTCCCAAAACTTTGTATTACCTTTAAGGAGAAGTTATCATATATGACCACAATTTTGTAATACTTCATTTCAGCAACTCTCTATATTCATTTGCAGCTGTGAACAGTAAACGTATTTTAGCAATCCTAAGGATTAATTGCACAAGGGCTAATGATGCTCTAACGAAAGAATTCTCAGTTATTTTTAGGGTGTCTTTTTGTGGCCTTCTTTAATTGTAATGCATATGCTATTTTTGTCTGTTGGTTAGACTGCAGTGCTACTTATATAATTCTTTGCTCCACCCTGTCTGATAATACATTTCAAACTTTTCTATGAATAGAAGTTGGATTTAAAAGTAAATGCAGATTAAGGATATGGATTAGCAAAGTATTAACACACTTTAACTAACACTGCACATGATTTGAGTTAATCCATATACAGCCTGTATGTACATGTACATGTACAGAGCTGCCAACCTTGTGCGACCAAAAAAAGGAATTCATAAAAACAAAACTTATAACCATGCGCGACAAACTTCCAATGAAGAAATGTTTATTCATCATGCTGTTTTTTCCATACAAGCAGGAATTTTTTTTGGTGGTTATTTTGGTATTATCGGCATTTTATTTATATAAATTTTATAAAATAAGTTTTCTATTGAATTTGTGGTCGAATCACCATTTTAGGGCAGTTGTTTGACATACGGTATGTAAAAAAAAAAAAAAAAAAAAAAAAAAAATTAAAAAAAATTAATAAAAAAACGTAAAATTGGGAGGAAAAAACGGAGTAATTCCGGCAAAAAACGGAATGGTTGGCAGCTCTGCATGTACATGTATGTATTTGATGGATGAGAGAATAAATGAAAGTTTCATCCATTTTGTAAAATATTGCTTTCAATGAAAGTGATATTATGAAAACAAAATAAGTTTCACGTATTAGGTATGGACAATAAATGCATTCATAGACTTTGAAAGTTGATAGAAAGAGAGGAAAAGAAAGGGAAATTTGCATAAGTTTGGTATTAAAGGTACTATGTCCCTTTTGCAGGCAACCTCAAATTCTGTAGAACTTTGCAGGAATTATGAATATGTCATGTGTGTCCTATCTGTGAAATTTAAACGTTAGCAGTGTCCTCATATTCAAATTATGCAAGGAAACCCGTTTACTTGCTAGATTTCACTGTCAGACACTATTGAGTGACTGACTGGCTTTTTTTTTCTTCTTTGGTAATAACATACATGAAAAGAGTTGTAAAGGGTACATGAGCATTTGTCTACATCAATAACCCACTTCTTGTGATGCTGATTGAATCTTTGCGCAGCATAAAACGTATGACCATTCGGTACAATTGTCTGAAAATCAAGACTATTACTTTTGGGCTCTATAGCCCTAAAGTCGATTTGACAACTAATAGTTGTTATTTTCCCACTTGAAGATATTTTCAAGCCCTACCTTTTTTAGGGAAGTTCTAAATTAGTATTATTTTTCAAATGCAGTTGGAATTTAACTTTTTCATTTTTTTGCCCTGCAAATGGGACATAGTACCTTTAAAAGGTGGTGAGAAAGGAAGGATACATATTTTTTTGTTATAATGTTGTGATCAAGGGAACAAAGAGTGGCAAAGTGAAGAGCACAGAATAATATTTTAAAGACCAACCAACCACCCCAAAATTTGGAAGAAAAAGATGATGAAAGAATGTCAGTTTTAGAAAGCGGATACAATTGCAGCGTTTGAAGCTAAGAAGTGACTGAATTTTAAAATGGCATAATCAATTTGTATGAAAAACAGTCTGTGTTAATTGATGAAAAAAATATGATGGCTACATTATGATCTACAATGATGTAATTTTTGAATGAAAACTGCTTCGAACTTTTACGATGGAACTTGGACTAAATCTATGGAAAAATGAAGTTTTTGAAAAATTGCTATGAAGCTAGTACAGGATGAAATGATTGGAATTGAATGCTGGAATTTAAAGGATGAAATAAAATGTGTGAAATGACAAAAATCTTCTCTAAATTCCACTACATACCTGATGAATTAGATAGATTGAGAACAGGAGGAGTACAAAAAAGGGATACCGTCTGGACTTCTAATAGTAAAAAGGCAATTTCATGGAAAGGTGAAGAAATAATAAAAGGATATAGACCACACATGACATAAAGTACTATACACTGTATTGTATGCGTTAGTGACCACCTGTCTACGAAGACTACATTTTTTGTTTCCCTTGAAAATGGTTTCTCATTGAAACATGTTCTAAAGGAACCTGGACTTAAACACCACCTGCCTATAAAGACCACTTTTCTTGTCTCCCTTGGGTGGTCTTTATAGACAGGTTTCACTGTATTATCTATTATATGGTCCGTGCATTCTCTGGAAATCATCTCTACTTTATTAATTTCACAATTAATCAAACATTAACAGGACAAATTAATTTGAAATCAACTCATGCAAGGTTGAATTGGGGAAAAAGGTGATATAATCAAAACTAATACAAAAATTATAAAGAGGTTAAAGGCTTATTATTATTAAAATAAATCTGAAAAGGCAAATACATACATGTACAGTACCAAAGAAAAATCAGAAAATTACATGTAAATTGGTATGAAAATCAAACAAAGTATTTGTGATTGTTTGTTTTAATATTAATAACGGTTTTTGAAAATCAATTGAATACATACCAAAGACTTCAATGTGGGACAGGGGATTTTAAAAATAAATAAAGTGATGTCTTTCTTAATATTTCTTTTTACTTTGAACTGCATGTATAATGTATCTTTGATGAAATATCACTTGTATTTCATCAGGATTTATTGACAAAATACATGTAAATAAACTGATGAATAACCCAGCATGTAAATATTTGTCAAGATCAACTGAAATAGTGAATAATACATGACAGGAAGTTAGGTTTTGAAAATTTGTGAGTATAGTGCAAGGTAAAATTTTTAGCACACCATTAAAGTTTGTATACAAAGTTCATTTGTTTTCTTTTTCCTTATTTTCAATATTTACTGACGATAGAATAAGAAGTATGAACAGGCGAGACAAGTTGCTAGAGAAGGGAGACCCCCCCCCCACAAAAAAAACACCCTGAAATCCTAGAGACATAATGGACAGAAAATTGGCTAATATAAAACATATTACGCTAACAAAACTATAATTTCTTAGAAAATAGGTTCAGAAAAGAATGCAAAGATTAACTTTTATTTAACTTTTCTTTGTATTTATTTAAAAAAAGCAGAAGCCTTCTTTATGAAGTTGGCTGGAACTAAGAATTAACAAAATGTATGATATAATTAAGATGGAGTGTCAATAAACTTAATTAGATTGTTCTATAAAATTACAATAAGTTATATTAAAATCTCTAGAAAGCATTATTTCCCTTCACCATGAAGCTAGCTATCATTAATTTGATAAGAAGGCAATTGCTGTATAGCATTGAGTAAATATTAATTGTATATCATTGCCAAGATAAGGACTTTCAGAATTTTAGTAACATTTTGCCATCGTTTTATCTTTTGAGAAATGTACTATATTGTGTTAGAAAGATATAGGATACATAAATTTTTCAATATAATCAACAACATTCCCATTCGTTATAACATACACGTAATGGTACATTCAAAACATATAAACATTAACAATAACAAAGTCTAAATACACATAGTGCAAGCAGAAAAGGTCAAACAATACAAGCACAATATGCATGGTCATTCAAATACGAGTTATAACAATCTTTCATATATTTTCAATCAAATGATCTACCATTCCTGGTCTAATTTCAATACACCAAAATAAAGTTATGTATGCTTACAGTATATTTCAATACATATTTGATTGTAGTTGTTCTGAATATTGTTGTTGTTTAAGTTTCTTACCTGTTTGGTCAAGGTCGTCTTTTGACTTTGATAGCACTGTAGGTTCCAGTTGTAATGAAAGTCTACCAAGTGATCACAAAATAATTGTTAAGATAAATTGATTTACAAGTATATCAGCTATACGAACATCAAGAGTACGACCAAAAAATTTAATATATTCACAAACAAATAATTAGTGTAAAATTAAGTCAAAGGCAGGCTATCTACTTAAACTGCGAATTTTAAAGAGTTATTGTGAATTTGATTTATTTCCAATTATTCATTTTTATTTTTATTTATACAGGGTGACATTGTCTGTTAAATGTCTGGTTTAAAAAAGGGCCCTTTAAGTACATACAGAATATGCATCAAGATTGAAATTACACACAAATTAATTGCTGAGTTCTATAATACCAAACAATGATTTTAAGACAAACATGAGGGGCCATATGCCCACTGTGCTTGCGATAGGTGAGTCTTTTATTGAAATAATACTTACTTGTAGTTGTCTTCCTCCACAAACTTCTGCAGCTCTTCAATATACCTCACTGAGAGAAGGTACTTCTGGACGTATGGCAAGTTTTCTAAGTCGTACTGTGACTGTTGGAACTCGGATATTGCTCTCAAGATGTTGTTCATCTGAGGAGAGCAGAAGAGAGGAAGACACAGAGAGAGAGAGAGAGAGAGAGAGAGAGAGAGAGAGAAAGAGAGAGAGAGAGAGAGAGAGAGAAGGAGGGGGGATATTCATGAAAGAAAATTCAAAAATAAAAGTCAAAGATGGTTTCAAATTCATTTGAGTTAAATACAAAGTATTATCATGTAATTTCCCTTTACCGGTACATGATGTGCCATTAAGAAACTACATGTACATACCTGTTGTTAATCAACAAATTATGTATCTGGTGCCAAGACCGAAACATTCATGCCAGAGAACTACCTTCCCAGCATGCCCTCCCCCCAAAAAGAAACTGCCCCGTTGACAAATACAAGTTTAGAATTTAAAGTAGTTATAGCACAAATGGGGTGATTGTGCAAGGGGAGGACAAGTGCAGATAGTTTTCCCTCAATGTTGCCCTTGAATAAATTAATTCTTATGCTTATATAATTTTTAATGAAGGTCATGTTCTCTGGCTCCGAGACATGGTGAAATTTTCTGACCTCCACATCAAGTGGATTATGAAATTTGACTCACTTTTGTCGATCTACTATTACTTTCAATGCCCCCTGTACTCGGATGCGCGACATCGATGTAGATCAGATCTTGTAGATACATTCCTGTGGTTAAAATGTAACAAGAAAATGTAGAAAAACATGGTCATTAACAATATTTTTTTAATACCACAGTAAAGGAGGAGAATGGAATGTTTTGAGAAGGTTATCGACATAATATCCAACGAAACCATCACCTGTTAAAAATCAGGCTGTTATTCTGAATCAATGGTTTAGGAGTAGAGTCATAAGATGTTGCATGCTGGAAAGGCATACTATTTAAAGGTCAAGCATGTTGGTGTTTCAGTGACCTAGTTTGTTTTAAAATTGAAATGTACAAGCTCTCTTCTTCCCTGGCCGCCATCTTTTGCACTCAGAACATTGCTAAAAAATTTGTATTTGCACAGTTTTTGTCATTCCAATTTTGTATTTATCATGTTCATATTGTTTCGTTGTTATATTTCTTGAAAGTGCCGAATAAATAATACAAATACTAAGCAAAATGTACAAAGTGTTTGTATGTTTGTATGTTTGTTTTACCTAACAGCTAAGATAGCATGTGTATGCTTGTAAGTAAGCAACCAGGGGACCAACAGCTAAAGGTCTCCTCTGAGGGACTTGGTAATGAGGATTACTGCCTTACCTAAAGGGCTCGGGTGCATTGACTGGGTTTTTTTAACCTAGGACCTCCCTGCTACAAGACCACTGCTCTACCACCGAGCCATCACACCTCATATGAACTCGCAAAGGATGTACAAGATAACCAGATGATATTCATGTATTCTCCAAGGGGATTGGGGAATTGATGAAAGAGAGGGGGTGGAGGAGAGGGAAATAGGGGGAGAGGGAAGAGGGAGGGGGGGGGGGGGTTAAGAGTCATTAGCAAGACATAACAACTTTCAAAGTTATGGTATAAAAGGTAACCTGTATGTCCATGTAATTTCTAAGAGGAGGGGAGAGGAGGAGGGAGGGAAGAGGAGGGGTCAAGAGGAGGGAAGAGGAGGGAAGAGGAGGAGGGGAGAGGAGGAGGTGAGATGAGGGGGAAGGGGTGGGAGTAAAAGTAGGGGAGAGGGGGAGGAGGGGGAGGACGAGAGGGGAGAGGAGGGGAGAGGAGGAGGGGAGAGGAGGAGGGGAGAGGAGGAGGGGAGAGGAGGAGGGGAGAGGAGGAGGGGAGAGGAGGAGGGGAGAGGAGGAGGAGAGAGGAGGAGGAGGAGGGGGAGAGGAGGAGGGGAGAGGAGGAGGGAGAGAGGAGGGGGGAGAGGAGGGAGAGGAGGAGGGGAGAGGAGGAGGGGAGAGGAGGAGGGGAGAGGAGGAGAGGGAGAGGGAGAGGAGGAGGGGAGAGGAGGAGGGGAGAGGAGGAGGGGAGAGGAGGAGGAGAGAGGAGGAGGAGGAGAGGGAGAGAGGAGGAGGGGAGAGGAGGAGGGGAGAGGAGGAGGGGAGAGGAAGAGGGGAGAGGAGGAGGGGAGAGGAGGAGGGGTGAGGAGGAGGGGAGAGGAGGAGGGGAGAGGAGGGGAGAGGAGGAGGGGAGAGGAGGAGGGGAGAGGAGGAGGGGAGAGGAGGAGGGGAGAGGAGGAGGGGAGAGGAGGAGGAGAGAGGAGGAGGGGAGAAGAGGAGGGGAGAGGAGGAGGAGAGAGGAGGAGAGAGGAGGGGAGAGAGGAGGGGAGAGGAGGAGGGGGAGGAGGGGGGAGAGGAGGAGGGAGAGGAGGAGGGGGAGGAGGAGGGGAGAGGAGGAGGGAGAGGAGGAGGGGGAGGAGGAGGAGAGAGGAGGGGAAGAAGAGGAGGGGAGAGGAGGAGGAGAGAGGAGGGGGAGAGGAGGAGGGGAGAGGAGGAGGGGAGAAGAGGAGGGGTCAAGAGGTGGGGAGAGGAGGAGGGGTGAGGAGGAGGGAGAGGAGGAGGAGGGGAGAGGAGGAGGGGAGAGGAGGAGGGGAGAGGAGGGGGGAGAGGAGGAGGGGAGAGGAGGAGGGGAGAGGAGGAGGAGAAAGGAGGAGGGGAGAAGAGGAGGGGAGAGAGAGGAGGAGAGAGGAGGGAGAGAAGGAGGGGAGAGGAGGAGGGGAGAGGAGGAGGGGAGAGGAGGAGGGGAGAGGAGGAGGGGAGAGGAGGAGGGGAGAGGAGGAGGGGAGAGGAGGAGGGGAGAGGAGGAGGGAGAGGAGGAGGAGAGAGGAGGGGAGAGGAGGGGAGGAGAGAGGAGGAGGGGAGAAGAGGAGGGGAGAGGAGGAGGAGAGAGGAGGGGAGGAGGAGGGGAGAGGAGGAGGGGAGAAGAGGAGGGGTCAAGAGGTGGGGAGAGGAGGAGGGGTGGTGAGGAGGAGGGGAGAGGAGGAGGGGAGAGGAGGAGGGGAGAGGAGGAGGGGGAGAGGAGGAGGGGAGAGGAGGAGGGGAGAGGAGGAGGGGAAGAGGAGGAGGAGAGAGGAGGAGGGGAGAAGAGGAGGGGAGAGGAGGAGGAGAGAGAGGAGGAGAGGAGGGGAGAGGAGGAGGGGAGAGGAGGAGGGGAGAGGAGGAGGGGAGAGGAGGAGGGGAGAGGAGGAGGGGAGAGGAGGAGGGGAGAGGAGGAGGGGAGAGGAGGAGGGGAGAGGAGGAGGGGAGAGGAGGAGGAGAGAGGAGGGGAGAGGAGGAGGAGAGAGGAGGAGGGGAGAGAGAGGAGGGGAGAGGAGGAGGAGAGAGGAGAGAGGAGGGGGAGAGGAGGAGGGGAGAGGAGGAGGGGAGAAAGAGGAGGGGTCAAGAGGTGGGGAGAGGAGGAGGGGAGAGGAGGAGGGGAGAGGAGGAGGAGGAGAGGAGAGGGAGAGGAGGAGGGGAGAGGAGGAGGGGAGAGGAGGAGGGGAGAGGAGGAGGGGAGAGGAGGAGGGAAAGGAGGAGGGGAGAGGAGGAGGGGAGAGGAGGAGGGGAGAGGAGGAGGGGAGAAGAGGAGGGGTCAAGAGGTGGGGAGAGGAGTAGGGGAGAGGAGGAGGGGAGAGGAGGAGGAGGAGGGAGAGGAGGAGGTGAGATGAGGGGGAAGGGGTAGGAGTAGAAGTAGGGGGAGAGGAGGAGGGGAGAGGAGGGGAGAGGAGGGGGAAGGGTTGGGATGAGGGGAAGATGGTGGGGGAGTGATAAGGGGAGAGGAAGCAAGTCCTGATAACTTACCAAGGTATGGTATACAAGGTAACCTGACTACATCCATGTATTCTCTTAACCTCTGTCTGTTATCATCTTCTGTCATCAGCTCAGAGAGCTTCTCACACGTTGCTCTTTCTTTTTATGAACCAGCTGAAATGACAAAAAGAGAGTAAAGGATGTTAAAGGGTCTGACTTGAAATTATACATTCATTCACCCATGAACTCATTCACTCAATAATGCACCAAATTATCCACCTATCAATCAATCTATCCATCCAACAATTGATTTAGACATTCATTTATGAAATTTCATGTCTTGGCAATGATGATGGTAATTCCACATGTTTTTACACAAGTAAAATGCGATAACTTGCGACATAAATGAGCTGTCTTCGTCACGTCAATGTTGTTTGTTTGTATTAAAGGATTTTCTGAACATTAAAATCAATTCAACTTCTAATAAACACCGGAACCCATAATTTCAAACCTGTCTATAAAGACCTCTCAAGGGAAACATACAAAGTGGTCTCTACAGGCAGGTGGTCTTTATGTACAGGTTCCTTTAATACAAGTTCCGATGAGAAATCATATTCAAGGGGGGAAAAAAAGTGTTCTTCATAGACAGGTGGTCTTTAAAAACAGGTAGTCCAGGTTTCCCTGTATGAAACTTACATTCCATGTTTTGGTTAACCTAAAGATTGATGCACTGTGTAACGCTGAGATGATCGCCATCGTCGCATGAAGGTTGTTGATATCAAACAGTTTCTAGGAGGAAAAAGAAAAGGTGAAAAACATGATTTAATTCAAAATTTACATCAACAAAATGATTTCATACAGTCCAAATATTCTCTGAGTAAAAACTGAGTAAAACTATTTACAGTGCAAAAATTATCATTTTGTGACTATTTTGGTCAAAACTAATATATCTATGGTAAGAGAACATCATCTGTAAGTAATTCACATTCGATCTTGGATTACTTTATCAGTCTCTTGTAATTTTTACTTCAGAGAAGTGTGCTTACATGTATTGAAATATACAGTACAGTGAAACCTGTCTATATAGACCACAGAATAGACAAGAAAAAGTGGTCTTTATAGGCAGGTGGTCTTTATGTACAGGTTCCTTTTAATAGTACATGTTTCAACAAGAAACCATTTTTAAGGGAAACAAAAAATGTAATCTTTGAAGACAGGTTATCTCTCTATACAGGTGGTCACTAAAACAGGTTTGACTGTATATTAAAAAAAAAATACTTTTTACATTCTTTCTTACTCAATAACACAAATAAAGCAAATACAATTTTTTTAAATAAATTATAATTGCATAAATCACTATCTTACCTTTGCTACTTTGATGAAATGACCTATGACCTCTGCTCTGGCCTTGGTCATCTGTGTGATGAGGACTTCATGGACGACCCAGAAACTCACCTACATCGTTACATGAAAAAAAGGGAAAACAATAAAGATTACATTTCATTTTGAATAACATACATACAGTTAACAACTATCCTTACATAAATAAAAAAAAAAAAAAAACTATCCTTACCGGCACTATAGTTCTCCTTAGAACTATAAGCTAAGAAAGATAACCAACAGTCCTTTTCAGGACTACACACACTCAAGAAAGAAAAATTACAGAGAGTCCTTTCAGGACTCCCCAATCCTCCCCCTCTCTCACATGGTGCAACCGCAAGCCTACTGTATATCCTTATCAAGTTTTGTAATTTTAAGTATGGGAACAATTGATTTGTTTTGATTTATGTTTCTTGAGAATGAGACATTTGAAATGATTCAATAAAGGCTTTTATTCAACCAGTCAACCTTTTATTCTTTAGTTACAAAAAAAAAAATCAATCAATTGTTGAGTAATGTGTTACGACAAGGCTTAGTCACAATGACGTGAAAATACCTACGCCTCAACCCTATTTTTAAATGTTTGATTGGCATGGTTACGAAACAGGTGTACGGTAAGGTTCTACGTGAGCACCAGACACTCATGTCTGATTCTTTCTTACAGACCAGCAATTCTTTTTTTCATACCCAACTGATCATTACAACTTGGCTATTTTCAGATATTAGCAAACAAATTGTGATTCATCCATTAAAATTAGAAAAAAATCCTTCAGTTTCACCCAAAGTCTCAATATGGTACTATCAAAGGAAAGATTCAGGGAAAAAAATCAAAAAAGAGCCACTCCCTCTTTTTTGCACAATGTACTCGATTCCCTTGAGTTTTCACATGTACTAATACTCATATCAATAAATCATCGTCATTAAAGGTAATACAAAGTTTTGGGAAATTTTGAAAATTGGCTGGAAGAGATTCTTTACAATTTTGATATATTTGGATGCCCATGTGGATGTATTATAATCACTAGAAAATTCAGCCCCTAAAACACTTTGGCTTTCGAGAAATATTGAATATAAAAATTTACCGGTGCTCCCAGTAAATTTTGATAAATTTCTAATAGCGCCTACGGCCGTACGATGGTAGCTGCGACCATGACAATCTCAGAATATGTAGTTGTGATATATAATTTCCAAACGGTAATAGCTAATCGGTCGATATTAGTCAAGAAACATTGTTTTATAACTTAATTAATATCTTGACCTTGAGAGGGAGCTATACAACATAAAGAGTGTATTATTTACAATTTCATAACTTCAGACTCAATTTCAACCGTGACAACGATCACTGAATATTGTAGGATCGCATATGCTTCAAATTTGTTCATTTAAACCAAATTCATGACCCCATACCAAAACTTTGTATTACCATTAATGTAATGAAATTGAATGCATAAATCTATGTTAAGTGCCACGTTACAAATTATTATGTTCATTGGTATGAATAATTGAATTCAATAGTCAGAATGAAATTTAACTATGCAAATTACATAAATTAATTGTTACTAGGTGCGAAAAACATTATGGCTTGTTCTACCTAACTTTGGGTGAAACCGACACTTACAAGCAGCATCTAACACATAATTTTCACAATCAAATGTCAGACCTTGAATTTCTTTAAAAAAACGATTTTACTAAAACTTAGGGGATCATACATGTATTACAATATAAAATCAGGAGAAGGAAACACATTGGATTCAAGGATAGTTGATGTTCCTTTGCATAGCGAAGTCTAGTTGCATTTTAAAACAAAAAAAATACCCCGGCTTGCATGAAAAACAACCTCACATCCATCAAACCTCCTCCTTGACGTCACTCATTAATTAAAGCAAAAACCTGATACAATGCGTCACCCTTCAGCCCTTTTCTATTTTTTTTTAAATATCACGACTAAAGACGGATTTGGGGGTACGTAACACTACAATGACACCTGCTCTAGTGGCTGTGCTTACATCCTAAACTGGGAAAAAAAATGTGAAAAAGAATCTGGGCAGAAAAGGTCATAGTGACTAATTCCAGAGTTTGGCAAAACCATGAGTGATACTTTTTTTTGGGGGGGGGGGGGGTAAGGCACCTCTGAAGTTTTATTTTGGCCCAAACATTTTTTCACGCTCACTGGTCTGGACCCCATTTCATAAAACTTGTTACCAATAGCAAGTTTCAATAACTGTTATAAGCTAAAGAAATAGTTGCATCTGATTGGTTGAGAGCAAATTTGTCATATAAGTTTAGAATTTGTTATTTATTTAAGAAAAAAATTGAAACAGGGTTCTGTTCTCCTTGTTCTGGGCCCAGTTTCATAAAAACTTGTTACCAATAGCAAGTTTCAATAATTGTTAAAAGCTACTGAAATCGTGGCATCTGATTGGTTGAGAGCACATTTGGTGTAGAAGTTTAGAACTTGTCATTCATAACAAATTTTGTGAAACAGGACCCTGATGTAGTGTTCAAAGTCGAACTTGTCAATGCACTGTTAAATTGCCATTTGGTAGTTGGTACAGTAACCTATCCTAAATTAGCAAGTCCCTCGTATAGGATGTAAAACCATATATGGAGGTCCACTGGCTTTTTTAAACTACAAGCAAAATTAACAGCCAGGTGTTAGAAATAAGCACCAACATTAGCAGCAACAAAAATCTTTCTAATCATCATAACTTTCTTATATTTAGTCAGATTTAATTGAAACTTTCATCAGTTTGCTTCTCTGATTCTTCTGCTTTCTTTTAGAGTAGTTGTCTATTTGGGTTGGATTTCCCTTTAATCCATTTACTACCGAATTCAATCATTCTATAGGCTTTAACTATGGCAGCAACAGTTTACGTGGTTACCAGAAGCAATGGGTTTAAACTGTCTTCAAGATGATGCAAGCAAGCATCCTCCCAGGGCATGACACCTTGAAGCTGCCCTCGGTTTGTTGTCGAGGGGCCGTCGGAAACGGAGCGCCGTAAATTTTTGAAGGCGAATCCATCACATGCTAATCACGCATGCATCCATCGTGGCAAATATGAAAACATGTTTACAAGCTGCTTTGAAATATTGTGACGGGTCTTTCACCCAGAGTACAAGCACATAAGGATTTAATGATGATGTCATTGTACATTTATATACGTTTATTCTGGGATTTACCTTCTACAAGTAAATGGATTCAAGCATCGACTCTGAGTTTTGCAAGAACAAAGACAGTTAATAACTAAATTATTCACACCCCTTGTTAATTTGATGTTGTTTTTGTGTTTTTGGAAACTCAATAATGAAAGGTGGACTGTTCGAATAAAGGCCTTTGTTGAATACTTCTAGATGTAAACTTAAAGGGCCCATGCCACTTTCTCAAGTTAGCTCATTGATGACTGACAGATGATGTCACAAGGGGAATGAGATCTGGAGGTTTTTGGGGTGGGGCTTTATAGCAAGTTTAAAAAAAACAAATATTTCAAAAAAATATTCAAAAATCTATGAAACAAATTCAGAAGTTTACATATCAAAATATGAGATGTATGCAGGACTGCACACCAACAGGTATACACTTGTATTTCAATGTCATGGGTCCTTTAATATGTCACATTCTTAAGAAACAGAAATCTGGACAAAACCAATTTTGTACATACTCAGAAAATGACCAAACTTGGTAAGGGTACGAATAATTTACAGTTAGTTGTTCACTGTATCTCCCTTAAGTTTACAAAATATATCCATGTTAAAAATGGTAATAAAGTGACGAAACTCACCTGATTAAATCTTTTTGAGAAGGCAACAATGTTTGGACAAAGGGTATTCTTGGACTTTCCTGACCATGCGCAGCTACTAAGCTCCTGAAAAATACACATAAGAAGAGATGGAGAAAGATATATATATCATTAAGTATCTGTTTCACAAATGATTTCAGTATGAATCCTTATATATCTATGGTGGCACATTCCTTGAATTTCTTCTAATGATTATGTTATAATGCATTTTTACCACCAGATAAAGTCAATAGTATATCTTCATAGGGATAATGGAAACCATGCCGGTTCATTCTTGAATAGAACTACGTGTATTAATTGAAAGTCATCAGTCTCTATATATGTATCACATGTTTATTTTCCATTCATCCGGTCTTTTCCTTTCAAAGTCTTCATCGATTGATGGCGTCTTTAAACAACTCCAGCATTTACTTAATGAGCAAACAGACGGCTGAGTGAGGATTCAATTATCACCGCTCCTCATGCAAGGCTTGTGCCAATGACACATAAAATCCAGCCAAGATAGAATACACGACTTCTGAGATCTGAGCTGAGAGCTTGGGCTGGGGGGGGGGGGGGGGGGGATTTAGGGGAGGGGATGACAGAGACAATCACATGTAAATGTAAATATAGAGAGAGGGAGGGTGAGAGAGGAGGGGGCATAGAGGGAGGGAGGGCAGGAGAAGAGGGAGGACAGAACTGCGAAGGGATTGAAGAAAGGGAGAGAAAGAGAGAAAGAGAGAGAGGGGGAGGCTGTATGTGTGTGTGTGTGTGTGTGTAGGGGAGGGAAAGACAGAGACAATTGTAGAGAAAGGGAGAGTGAGAGGGGAAAAGAGTGAGAGAGAGGAAGAGAGGAGAAGAGAAGGGGAGAGACAGAAGGGACAAGAGAGAGAAAGAGAGAGAGAGAGAGAGAGAGAGGTGGATGATGTATGTGTGTGTGTGTGTAGGGGAGGGAAAGACAGAGACAATCACATGTAGAGAAAGGGAGAGTGAGAGGGGAAAAGAGTGAGAGAGAGGAAGAGAGAAAAAAGAGGGAGGGGGAGAGACAGAAGGGACAAAAGAGAGAGAGAGAGAGGGAGAGAGAGAGAGAGAGAGAGAGGTGGATGATGTATGTGTGTGTGTGTGTAGGGGAGGGGAAGACAGAGACAATCACATGTAGAGAAAGGGAGAGTGAGAGGGGAAAAGAGTGAGAGAGAGGAAGAGAGAAAAAGAGGGAGGGGGAGAGACAGAAGGGACAAAAGAGAGAGAGAGAGGAGGGAGAGAGAGAGAGAGAGAGAGGTGGATGATGTATGTGTGTGTGTGTGTAGGGGAGGGGAAGACAGAGACAATCACATGTAGAGAAAGGGAGAGTGAGAGGGGAAAAGAGTGAGAGAGAGGAAGAGAGGAGAAGAGAAGGGGAGAGACAGAAGGGACAAAAGAGAGAAAGAGAGAGAGAGAGAGAGAGAGAGAGAGGAGAGAGAGAGGGGGAGAGAGAGAGAGAGAGATAGAGGGGGGGGTGTATCTGAGCGTGGGGAGGGTGTATCTGAGCATGTGGAGGGGGAATGCTTGGCTCATTTCTTTGTCCATGGCCAATTTGGATCGTTACATTGGGAAGGGAAATTAAATAATTGGATCCAAATTGGTCGTCAGACTTGTCTCATTAACCCTGCATCACAGTGTGTTCCTGAGGTACCGGCTTAAATAATTTGCGCAAAGCTACTGTCTGTCTTCTTAATCTACCCACATCCAACTTTTCCATTCCAAGTACTTTGAAAATGCAAAATCTACTGTAATGTTTCAGTCACAGCACTCCACTAGCTCCCCCCCCCCCCCCCAAAAAAAAAAAGTTTCATATTTAATACATTGGATGGTTTTGGTATTTCAATTAATATTTGTCATCATTGGTTGAAATTAAATCACTATTATAAACTTCAATAGGCATGTTTCAGTTTCAGTTTTCAAAATCTGATTATTGTAAATTAACTATTCTGAATTTTGAACACCTGACTAATTGTTACAATGTACTCTCTCGTACCTGCATTCATACTTCATCTAACTTTCTACCTCTTCTTCTAATTCAATCTTTATCTCTTCTGTCCTTCATTTCCCTGTCTTTTTCATTTCCATGTTTTTATTTTAATGCTATTTTGAATTTACTTTATCAATTTTTAATGTATCAATTTTTAATGTATTGTATTTAATGTAATATTTTTATCTTTTGTAAATTCATCTTGTTTAAGCATTTCACTGCAGTTTTGAATGTACATGCACGTTTTTTTAATCAATTAACCATTTCAAATCATATAAAATCAATTATGTACTCACCTCTGATGTGATTGCTTTGAATGCTGGTATATCCAACAAAGTGATTTGAGTCTGGAAATTAAAATGGAAAAAAAAAAATGAAAGATAAAGACCAGTTATGGTCATGTGATTGCATTGTGAAAGAAACGTTGTAGAATCGATCAGAAAGGTTGATCATCTAGCATATAAGTATTGGTGTGTACTGCAAGGTTCTACAATCATCAAAATGATAAGAAATTTGGCCCAGTCTTGGTAAAGTTACAAGCACTGTACACAGAAAGATGCATTGGGACTACTGTGACATGTGCGCGACATGTGCGTTATATCTATCAGGTCCAAATAGATATAATAATTTACCAAATATATCAATTAGTAGGCAGTTTCTCGGCAGAATTTGTATGATCACGTATTAGTCAAAACATATTCTTTCACATGATACGTAATAAGAGCTTCCATTTCATTTGTTGAGAGGGAGGGGGGGGCGTTTCCAAAACTGGTCTTTAAAATTGTACCGGTGTGTTGGCGTTAAAAGACGGGAGTTGCTGCTACCTTGTTTGGTGTTAAGGAATAGAGCAACGTCGATCTCGCGCTGCTCAGAGGCTGCCGGGCTCACGATCAATTGGGCAAAAAGAATTTCCATTTTCGGTTTAACTTAATAAAATTTGGAGTGAACTTTAAACATTATTATTATTATTTTTTACCTTTAACAACATACAATATCATGACAAAGTACATCAAAAATGTGAGAATTAATTTCTCTCTGTCAGTCTGTCTCGGTCTCTCTGTCTCTTCCTCTCTATCCCTTCCTCCCTCACTCTACCCCCCTCTCTCCCTCCCTCCCTCCTTCCCTATCTATCAATCCATCTATCTATCTCCCTCTCCCTCCCTCCTTCCCTCCCTCTCCCTCCCTCCCTCCCTCCTCCCTCTCCCCTCCCCCCCCCCCCCCCCCCCCCCCCTCTGGCCTCCCTCCCATATCCATCTGCCTCCCATTCCCATCTGCCTCCCTTTCGTATCATATCAATTTGATCTACCAGAGAAAGGGGGAAAACCCTAGCAGACATGGCTCATCTGCTGCCTGTGAGTGTGACGGTTATTATTAGTCACAAGATTTTATTGCTGGTTCCTGTGCTTATCAAAGTTGGCTGGGCCATCAAGTTCCTTGATCAAGACAAGGTACATCTGGTTTGACATACTGTAGAGAATGCTATAAATTGCTCAGCCTCAGTAGCATCACAATCACTCAGACAAAAACTGACAGAAGACTGACGACAGACTAAACAAAATTTTACATTACCCCGAATGGCCAAGAATTTGAGTCAGTTTGGTGGTGCGAGAGACATACTGTATAAAGCGTCATTCAGAAATGATGCATTACACCGCAGCGTTTTGTTTTCTTCTTTTTTTCATTTCATTTTGTTATAGTGACATAAGTGTAATAAACTTGACATTTCTGTATCATATAACAAAGTATTAAAGTGACAATGTGTAAGACCTTTGTTGAATGCAATTGCCATTCTAATAAAAAAACAATCCAGAATAAATCATAGCAATTTTTTCTCAACATACGGTTCCCATACCAAAGCTTGATCATGAATTGCTTGAACGTAAAAAAAGAAAAGAAAACAATTTTGTAAAGCAAGCCAAATCAACCTTTCTTGGGACCATGTGCACATGGATGATATATAAAACTAATATCCTTCTGTGAATCTCGATTTTGGTGACCTTGGCAATACTAAACACAGAGAGCACAGCCAATAATCTTGGTCATTCAAAGAAATGCACCATTTGAACTGCCTTCAGGATATCACTAACCCTTGTTATATTTTTGATCAATGAAATCCTGTTTAGTAATTGGTCAACAAGGCATCATGATACCAAACATAACAATGCTATGATGTAACCGTGACGTCATCCATGGTATAGTGCATTATATACCTCACTTAAGTAATCCAGCCATCTGATTGGTCGAAATTGCATTCATAAACTTCAACTGTTCCTGTAAAATTCCCGGTAACCATGCTTAAAACATTTAATATTTTTAATAACCATGGTTATTAAAAAAATAGGTCAGTCTCCATGGTTACCCCATAGGTTTACATGTTAAAAAATGGTTTGAGCGATGGAGGATACCGTATGTGTGCGAATAATTGGTCGGTAATTTCAATACAATTGAATCTCGATCGATCTTACCGACAATTTTATCTTGCATTGTTGACATGAAGACGAAAATAAACTTCCAAAAACAAAAAAACAACATCTGCCGATAGATCTTGATCTAAGTTCGTGCCAATATGCATTGCAAAAGTAAAAGAAGAGTCCGTATATGGAGCTTTTGCGAAGCATTCATCACACGCGAAGCCGCGGTTTCAATCCATTTTAATGTATATATAGTACAAAACTGCCAAGCATGTTGATAGCGCGCGATGGCCGAGAGGTCTGAGGCGCTGACTTTAATTACATCACCTTTTGTACGCAAGAGTTCGAATCTCATCTTCGACCAAAAAAAAAAGTATTTTTTATTTTTTATTTTTTAGTCTATTTTTTTTCGGCATATAAAAGTATTAATGACTGCTTTAATATTCGAGAAATAGTTGTTTTTATACGCTCTCGGGAAGGTTACAATTGGGCTATTCCCCTCGGCACGCCTCGGGTAATAGCACAATTCTAACCTTCCCTTGAGCGTATAAAAACAACTATTTCTCTCAAAGCAGTCATTAATACTATACTATACCATAGCACTATACCATGGATGACGTCATATGTATATATATGTGATCGATCAAGATCAATGTGCTATCAGTCGCGGTACTCTCCACTACTTCAGTGATATTATTATTATTATTATTATTATTATCATTATTATTTTTATGAAGGGTGGTTTGAAAAATATATCATGCACTATTTCCAGCCAACCTCAGAAAATAGTGCTATTCCTGCCACCTCGATCCATAATTTCAATTATATACCTCACTTAAGTAATCCAGCCATCTGATTGGTCGAAATTGCATTCATAAACTTTAACTGTTCCTGTAAAAACAGACCTATTTTCCAAATAACCATGGTTATTGGGAAAATAGGTCAGTCTCCATGGTTACCCCATTGGTTTACATGTTAAAAAATGGTTTGAGCGATCGAGGATACCGTACGTGTGCGAAGAATTGGTCGGTAATTTCAATACAATTGAATCTCGATCGATCTTACCGACAATTTTATCTTGCATTGTTGACATGAAGACGAAAATAAACTTCCAAAAACAAAAAAACAACATCTGCCGATAGATCTTGATCTAAGTTCGTGCCAATATGCATTGCAAAAGTAAAAGAAGGGCCCGATTAATGGAGCAGCCGCGAATCACCAATCACGCGAAGCCGTTTTCAATCCATTTTAATGTATAAATTAGAGAAAACTGTTAAGTATGGTAACAGAGCGCGATAGCCGAGCGGTTTAAGGCGCTGATTTTAGTTACATCACCTTTTGTACGCAAGAGATCGAATCCCATCTTCGACAAAAGTTTTTTTATTTTTTATTTTTTAGTCTATTTTTTTTCGGCATATAAAAGTATTAATGACTGCTTTAATATTCGAGAAATAGTTGTTTTTATACGCTCTCGGGAAGGTTACAATTGGGCTATTGCCCTCGGCACGCCTCGGGGCAATAGCACAATTCTAACCTTCCCTTGAGCATATAAAAACAACTATTTCTCTCAAAGCAGTCATTAATACTATACTAGAGCCTCTCAGCGCATGGTATATTTGTTTACTATCGCCAATATTTTCTTCACAAAGAAAATTTTTAGGTTTGATTGCAGTTCAAAAATCTATTCATCATTATAAATGCTCTATGTGTAAATGAACCTATTGAGAACACCCCCTCCCCTTCTATTAAACCCCACTGCACAAGTTTGGCCAGGAGGGATTAGACCTCCCTGCAAGGTCACTGACAGGTGGTTATCTCATCAAATCAGCTCTCAATTTAACATAAGAAAAAGGGGACCATGGGGACCAATGGTCACCGAGTATAGGCATTGTTTGCTATATAGAGGGCACAAGTAGCTATAAGTAGTGCAGTGGGGCTTTAAAAAAAATGACAGCTGACAGAACTCACCGCAAACTCCTCAGGTTGGACTCTGAGCATGTCAAAGACGGCTCTGTCATAGCTCTTCATCCGAGGTAACGTCCATCTACTGTCTATGGCTGGGTCTTTCTCACTGTGGTTCTGTATAGAGACAAAAATAAAAACAAATAAAAAATCAGTTATTTATACTACTTCTCAACATCAAATACAGTCAAACCTGCAAGTCAAACCTGCTATAGTGACTACCTGTACAGAAAGACCACCTGTCTACAAAGACCACATTTTTTGTTTCCCTTTAAAAAAATGGTTTCTCATTGAAACATGTACAAAAGGAACCTGTACATAAAGACCACCTGCCTATGAAGACCACTTTTCTTGTCTTCCTTGGGTAGTCTTTATAGACAGGTTTCACTGTATATGTATATGACAATTTACCCCATTTTGGTATGTGTGTATTATTAAAAGATGGGCGGAACAGTGATGAAAAGGAGACAGACAGGAGGAAGAAAGAGGAGAGAATGGCAGACAGAGATAAATGATAAGGTCAAGGGGTCAAACTACATTTAAAATTCAAAATTATTAAGAGAGACAGAGAAAAATAAATGACAGAATCATGAACACAGATGACTATGTATATGAAAGAACTTGAGGAGAAAAAAAAGCATAAACTGAACAAGTGTACATGCAGCCAAATTAGATGGGCATCAAAGAGAAAAATCAGGAACATTCATCAAGTGTTGCAGAAGATGGTGAAAGGTTTGGCTGTCTGTAATAATTACGATGAAATAATAGCATGGTCAATTAGTCCATTGTAAACACTATACATACTCCTAAATTTTCATTACGATACTCTTCATCTGTACATGCACATCTGTACACACAAAATCAGAACACTGGCAATGCTACACCACATACATGGATATACAATGTACAGATAACACAGTTCTCAAAACACATGACGTGTGATGTGAATTATGCTGAAAGAGATATCGACCTACAAGTATGGCAGAGTGAGACATCTCATATGAATACAACATAAACATGAAACAAGCTATATATGATTCCTCAGGTACATGTGTACATGCAAATCATCAAATTACTATGAAACATAATTATTCAATCATTACCCTAATCCTCCTGGCGCCATTTTTGGTACGATGCACCTTTTCCAACTCTCTACACAACAAACACACAACAGCTCCCATCTTGAAACCTGCCTTCGCCTCAATGAACACGCAATCGAATCCAAACATATCCCAAAATACTGGATGCAGGAAAACAAGAAATATACTGACGTACGTACGTACGGGAAAATGATTCACATCACCAAACCCGTTGATAAGGGGAATCTGACTCACACATGTTGGCCGCTGGCCCTGTATTATAAGTTATTTCATATTGTTTGCTGTTAAGAGCCAGATGGTCATTGATGTACATTACTAAATTGTTTTGGGAAGGGGAATACCCTTCTGGCTCTGCCGTATGATACGGTATATCATATAACATCCGTAGTGAGTGATTATATTATACCAAAGTGACTATGACTCAACTATATGCGGCTTGTGATTGTTTTTCAATCCTGCTGGTATCTAGGTAGGCGTGGGTGCTTGTTACGTGTGTTAAAATGGCTTAATTAGTGTTCTCTTGTGGATTGAAAATTGATCAAATCAAATCATTTTCTGGAGAGCTAAAAATAGGTGTAAACTCTCAATACTGCATGTCCTTATTCCCTTCTGGCATTTAGAAGATGTCCTCTGTTATGAGCCAGAAGGGCGTATAACTCATAGCATTGTATATACAGACAATGCTCGCCTAGCTCAAACATATAATATAGTTAACAACTGAATTAGTCATAACCTTGCCAATTTTTTAATTTTTCTAAGTACATGTACATGTATGTGAAAAATGTATTTGTCCCGGTTTACATTACTTGAGAATGTGACCAAAGTAGTCAACAAAGGTCCTAATTCAACCTGTCCAACTTTCGTTCTTGAGTTATGAAAAACTCTGTAGAGGTTCATGTACATATCTAACAAAAATCCTTTTAACAACTTTAAATACTGTTAAAGGTACGTACGAAACAGAGAGCAAAGTATTACACATTAATAAAAAAGTGAAAAATAACGAGTCATCACTTCAATTTGTAACTGCTGCAATCAAATGAACTTCTCAGGAAGAATAGAGCATTAACCTAGCGTTTAATGTACAGTTAACAACTAGATTATTCATACCATTACCAGTTTTGTAAGTTTGTATGTACATGTACATGTATGTGAAAAATTGATTTGTCCCCATTATTGTTGTTGAGAATGTGAGATATTATTAAAGGTAACATCTAAAATTATCAAAGAAGGCCCCAGTTCAACCAGTTTGCATTTCATTCTTAAGTTACAAAAAACACAAAATACATCAAATTTCCATGGATATGAATAATTTTTGTTAACTGTATTTGTAATGCACAACTAGTGACCTACATGTACCGTGCACACAAATCTTCTAAATCGGATATTGAAGAATACAAGTAGAAGAGGAAAAAATTAAATTGTATGAATTACAAACATATTATCCACACCATTTGTTATTAAAAAGGACATCTGATTCTCTTTCATAGGCTCTGACTTACAATGTGTTACTAGGTGTACAGTTTGTAATATGATTCCCTTAATTGTTACCCATCAGGGAAAAATGATATGACAATTGGAAATTGATATGTTTGGCAACATTAAAACTAGTGGGATTGGATACTGTCATTTGGCAGGACTTTTTCACCCAAGTCCCCTATTTATAAGATCAAGTAATCGGTTGAATTTAAAAAATCAAATATATGCCAAGTACTAAAATGAATGGATCAGAAGTATAACATTTTACAGAATAAAAATCCTAATCCTTTGGAATGAAATTAATGAATAAACCTGCATGAAATGAGATGTTTAATTGTGCTGGGATTGAAATTGTTATGAATGGGAATGCTTGTATGCTTTCAGGCTCATTGCCAAATGCCAATGAATAAAGGAAACTGCATGTATAAAGTTGTCCTCATTTTCCAATCAAGAATTGAAATTGACCAAAATTAGTCAATAGAAGTGGAAAAAGGGTATTGTAAAAGTAATAACTATTAATTTTGTCAGCTTGGAGCCAGAAGGGCGTTATCTCATATACTTTAAGACAGACTTAAGTGACAGAAAGTAGTAAATTGCATAAGTACAAGATGTAATGTATACTGTATATTCTAGTAGTAGTAGTAGTAGTAGTACAGTCAAACCTGCTCTAGTGACCACCTGTCTACAAAGACCACATTTGTTGTCTCCCTTGAAAATGGTTTCTCATTGTAACAAGTACTAAAGAAACCCGTCTACAAAGACCACCTGTCTACAAAGACCACTTTTTGTGTTTCCCTTGGCCGGTCTCTATAGACAGGTTTGACTGTAGTAGTACATGTAGCAGTAGAGCAGTAGTAGTAGCAGTAGTAGTAGCAGTAGTAGTAGCAGTGGTAGTAGTATTCAATGCATATGGATACTTATGATTAATTTCATTCATTAATTGAATATCATACAAATTTATATGTTGTAAAGTTATATAAAATTTCATTGATTTATGAATAATTCTTGTTTTTATGAATATCTGATACTCATAAATAGTGACCGTGACGGGGTATAACAAATTATTCCATTGTTAATATAGTCTGTTCAGAGCTAGAGGAGTGTTAGAATATGCAACTGTGCCTACAAATGGAGAGATATTATTGAAACTATTAAAACTGAAGTACTGCATTACACTGTATATGGGCTGATTATAATCATTGCCATTTGATACTCCCTACACTTATTATGCTACCTCTCTTACACTTAAAGATTTATACATTAAATATGCATCATTACGGTAGTTATTGGAAACTAATTTGCTATTTTAATCCTTTTCACATGATTCTATATCAAGCAAACCACAGCACAGATTCTTATTCAGATGTCACTAGTAATCTGTCACTAAAAATTGGCAGCCACTTGACTATTTTGAAACGAGGAAATAAAGGGTATCAAATTTAACATTTTAAATTCACCCATTTGATCAACTATCAGCTTTATAATTTTTGTTTGATGTTGTTTCATTGGGTTTGTTAATTGTGGGTAGGAAAATATATCTAGTATCTACAGAGATTAAAAAGGATATTCTTTTAATGTAAATTATTATTATGTTCTGTAATAAACAATATGACACAGAACTGTATTTGTAATTAACAAAATCAACTTAAAACCTTGACGTGTTTTTGAACATTTGCTAGACCTTACAAAACAATCTCTGTGAATATATGCTTTGTCATTTCAGCAGAATTTGATGAAAATAAACAATTTCTACGACTAGGCGGGACTACCTATAAGGTGGAATGTCTCAAATTATTAACCGTGGGTGGATTCAATTCAAGGTACACAAACAAACTCATAGAAACTGAAGAGGCCAGGGCAACAGACGGCAGAGATTTAAAAGCTTAAAAACTATCTCTGACCTTTGACGAAATCCTGCCTAAAAGCATAATCGCGTTGTTCTGCCGCGATATCCATCGGTTAAGTCTAAGGTTGGGGAGATTTGTATCGTATTTTGGAGCTTAGGTGTGGAGAGCTTAGTGCTGATTGATTTCATAGGTTGGGTCTGAGAAAGGGTACCAATCCTCTGACAGTTCTATGTTACATGTTATTACTTAAATAACAAATATTTGTACCCAGAAGAATAGAAGAAGGGTGTTAACACATATTTTGGTCAACTTTTTCAATCTTTAAATTTTGAACTGAAAGGATAGAAGCATGTGTTGTTGATGTTTTTTACAGATTCTAACAATAACCTACAAAAAGATCCCCTCTATTTGTAACTTAACTTTTTCTTTAACCTATAATCATAGTTAGGAATTTAGAGGATAAAAACAGACTAATATGTGTTTTGCAGATCTACATGTAGTCAAAGAAAGGCTATAATATTTCGAACTAAAAGGATTGCCCCATATTTTTGTTAACACATTGTAAAAGTAGCCTCCAAAAAGCTCCCCTATAATTATGTTACTAATTTTTTTCTTTAACCTACAAATGTACATATAGAATCACAGTTAGGAATTTAGATGATATACAGAGTAAAGACTAATATGTGTTTTACAGATCTAGTCAAAGGCCAAAATATTTAAATGAACCTTCTTGAAACATATCTTTTGTTAAAAGGGGATGCCACCCTGATATTAAGTTGGTTTTAGTAGAAACACAAAAATCAGAACAACTGTCAGTGAAAGTTTGATTAGAATCTGATTAAAAGGAAGAAAGTTGTGAATTATTGAAGTTGTGATCAAACAAAAATGAAACTCTGTGATGGATCTTGCAAGGTCCCCTTCCATTTGCTCTGTAGTAGAAAAATTCAGAAATGTATATTTTTCCTAAAGAGAAGACATACAGTACATACACACGATCATAAAGACTTTAAAGAAATACACTGAAGGGCAATTAAAATACCCAACACATCACTACTTAAACTATACTATAACACTATAACATAATCTGGACATGATTTCTAGGTACAGAAATTGTCCTAGAGTTGATTTTTGAGTCTTTGTGATTGTGTTAGTAACTCTTTGAAGAAATAATACATCTGAAGCAAATATTTTGAAAAAATAGTAAAATGGCAAGGAGTCTTACACAAACAGACCAAATAATTTTGGGTGACATGATGTCCCCCTTTAAAGACTACATGCTATGTTTAGAAAAGAACAGCATCAATTAATCTCCAATCTCATCAATCCTTCGCAATCATTTTATTTCTGGAAATGCACGCTCTGTTTTGGCCTTTCACGTGTGTCTACAGTGTGTACATGAATCATCGGAAACGTCCTTGATTCTCTTTGGGGTCCACATGTAACCTAAAGCTGATAATACCTTGCACTAGGCACAGTCTAAATCCGACCGGCCTAAGCGTTTTTAAAAGAAGACACTTTCTGACCCGCCATGCCATACAACAAAGCACTTACAGGAGTTACAGCAATAAGCTTGTCATTACTTACCACCGAGAAGCAGTCCGTAAATAAGAAATACATCGGGACGGAGCGAGATGAGTCGTTTAACAGCAAGAAAACAAACCAAAACAATCCCAATAGGCGGACCGGTCGTCCGTAACTTAATTCCAAAATTAAGGTAAATGGTCCAGGATCATATAGGTTTAAGTCAGGCAAGCATGGATGGGTGAAAGGCAAGAACAAAGTATTTGACGCTTGCTGAATCATACAGCGATTCGTCGAGCAGAGGGTATGGTTAAGATAAAAAAAGGTTTTGGCCGACACTGGAAGGCGAGGGGGGAAACTATATAGTTATAAATAGAACTTCTAGTCTGGTTGAACCAGTCACTGGTTTCTATGTTAACATCATGGTTAAGTTCATTACTCATATCACAAAGAGACTCCATGGACATTCTTCAGGAAGTTTTGCTGAATAGATAAATTAACCAAGCATTTTCTTCTTTCTTAATCAACTTCCTGGCTCAGTGGCTCCCTACAATTGGAACTGTGGAAGTACCCATCAGGCTATTCCTAATTATTGACCCTTGGCTTTGAGCCCATCTAAAGTCACAAAATTTAATTTAATACAGCCTTTTTAGGGTAAATTCAACAACTATACAGTCAAACCTGCTTTAGTGACCACCTGTGTACAAAGACCACATTTTTTGTTTCCCTTGTAAGTGGTTTCTCATTGAAACATGTACATAAAGACCACCTGCCTATAAAGACAACTTTTCTTGTCTCCCTTGGCCAGTCTTTATAGACAGGAATACACTGTATCAATAAAAGTATGAATTGTATGCCTTCTATGATTATGAGAGAGAATTTTCAATTCAATTCAATTCAATTCTTTTTATTCATCCAAATTCACAAGAATACATGGAAATTTGTTTTGGCCACACATTGTACAAATACGTAAGATATATGAAAAACTATATTGTTGTGTTTATAATCATAGAAGAACCATCAAAATAAAAGATGGACAACATAGCATATTCTTATATTCTAGTATTACACATTGAAAATGGTGAAAAGGATAGAACATCAGTGTGAAGGAAGGAATTAAACAAGTCTTTTGTACCCATGATGATTCTCCTTTATCATTTATTAACCACTTGTGAATAATTTGGTGATGTTTTGTTCTTTTTAATTATCAGAAATAATGTACAGGTGTGTACCTAAATTAATGTTATCGATGAACATTTTTGAGTATTGGTGTCAGTCTTTGTCGTGATTGCACAAAATTGGTTCTCTCTTTGCCAAACTTTTACAATTTTTCCTATGGTAAATATTCAAGTTTTTACAGCATGTTTTCCATTTATTTATCACACTGATGTATCACTCTCTCTCTCTCTTTAATGGACAAAACACTGATCCATCAATGAAACATATCACATTGTACGTAAGACCGATGAAATAAATTATGAAAACATTTCTTATTTACATAATTCAAATTTCAAAATGATTTGACGAATAGCTCTCTGATTAACAATGGCAATTATACACAATGACTCAACACTTTCTTGCCCTCTCATACGACCTAGCATGGAATCATATGTCAGATAATCATCATGATTTGTCATTAAATAATTATACTATTTGTTTGTAAACACACTTGTAAAATGATATGTGAAAATAGTCAACAAGTAAGCTGCCAAATCCAAATCTAATATGTGCATTGTATTTGTAGCAAACACAATCAAACAGGGCATTGTCATAATGTAATCAAATTTAATGCACAAATCTATGTTAAGTGCCTATTAAAAATCATTTCGTTCATCTGCTATGAGTAATTGTATTTCAACGGCAGAATGCGTATTGCATACATTAATTGTTGCTAGGTAGGACAAGCGTTATTGCTTTTCCTACTTAAAATGTATATATAACATAAATATATATCAATATTTGCTTCATACATTACAATATGAGCCAAGTGTAAAGAAAAGCCACCCCCTCCCCCCCCCCCCCACACACACTACAACACAATAAAATACAATGGACATACATCATGTTTACACACAATCTAAATGGTTAGACTCTGTTAGAAACTTGGCAACTTTGGCCATTATCCTTGAAAGAATGGTGATTTTCTAATTCGGTCAAAATACCTTGTAAACCAAAGGAATGAATGAAAATTATTTAATCACAAAATAATTTAAATTAATGATTAAGTTATTTGGGCCATTCATTTTAATTCCAGGATTATAGGAATGAACATAGTTTTGATTTTGTAATGTAATAGTTAACGCTATTGACTTCTTAATACGTAGATTACTTGGTGACCTATTTACGAGAAAGCAGATTTGTGACTGATGGAATATTCTAATTGAGGTGACTCTAACATTATGATTCCCTAAGACTACCACATAAGAAGACAGTCTGTAGTAAGGGAGAGGGGTAAAAGAGGGGGGTAGGGAGGGGGGTGTTGATGAAGGGAAGAGTGTCGTGCTTTTATTATTAGCACTCCCCATTCCATGTGTTTGACACGGCCAGGAAGTACATCATTAAAGGTAGGGGTACATAGGGACTCATACACGTAGACATCGCACAGTCTTTTCTTGCAGACCTATTTTCTATTCCATCCCCAAAAGTTTGTGTACACTGTATATACAGTCAAACCTGCTTATTAAGGGACCAACTGTCTACAAAGACCACATTTTTTTGTTTCCTATGAAAAAGGTTTCTCATTGAAATATGCACTAAAGAAACCTGTATACAAAGACCACTATTTGTGTTTCCCTTGGACGGTCGCTTTAGACAGGTTTGACTGCACAAGAAAATTTAAAAAATATTGGTTCTTCTACATCAGGCAACATATGGTTTCCCAATTTACAACAAATGGTAAAACACTATTAAAATGCGATATCCTGATGAAATAACTGCATCATACTGATTGATGTTCAAAGCTAGTTTTCTTTTTTTTCTTCCCTTTTTCATCAAAAATAATTAACTTTGTCATTTTGGCGCATACATGAGTAAATTAGGGTTATGTCATCGGGTCTGCATGGGAGCAATCTGAAATGACTCATCAAGACTTTTCTAAAGGTTACTCAGAGTCCAACACATTCATGGAGTCGAACATGCTCCGTTCACCAAAGACCTTTCCTGACAAAGGGTGAGAATTTTTAGACTAATTAGCTCATAAGCTGATGACAAAGGAAAAGAGACCCATGGCTGTTAATTTTAAGGGGGCCCCTTCTATGATCGATTAATTCCTGTCTTTATCGAAGACTAAAAGATTTGTCAGGCCTTTCTCCAATCCATGAAATTTAATGAAACCTGGCATCTTACATGAAAAATAGAGGATTGTTTTAAACATGGAAAGAAAGCATACAGAAATGTCAGTTGGGTCTATATTATGTTTTTATATTTCAAACTTGTAAACCATATTATGGTAAAGATGTTGCAACTCCACATAACCTACTTTTTTCTCTCGATTCGATTCAATTCATTTTATTTTATTTCATGTTAAAATAAAAATGCTCCAATAGGTTTAACTTTAAATCTTATAACGGTAAAGGTGTTACAGCTGCACATAACCTACATGTACTTCATGATAAACAAATATTTGAATACGATATATTATATATTCCATCAATGATCGAGTGAGTGGATGGATAAATGAATACATTAAACAAAGACCTATACTACCAAGATTTGTTCAAGAATGAATGAACGAGTGGAAGGACTTTATTTATACAAAAAAATTGATCGTGATGAAATTGCTTATCATTAACAATACTAAGCCTTTAAAAAAAAATCATGTCAAAGAATTAAACCACATGGTTACAGGAAAAAAGAAAAGACAGTAGTATAGGAAAAATTTGAAAATTAATTATAAAAAAAAAAAAAGTAAAATCTTTAGTTCACATCTTATTTAGATATTAAAAGACAAGATGTATTTTGAGTGTACATGGTAGAGGGGTGCAAATATGACTTTGGGGGTTACATTTTTCAAATGTATTATGTAATCAAAGGGGAAGGAAATGATATCTAACATAGAGATCTATGTGCTATTAAACCTATCACCAACAACATTTCAAATGAGGAATTGACTTAAAGCCCCACTGTCCTACTCAGGGAAAAAAATATGGGGGCTACTTTTCAAGCTTGCTTGCATGAATTAATTTGTTTTGCATTAAACTCTATGCACATTTTTGGGGGCTCTTTTATGACTTTCGGGGGCTCTTTTTGGCATTTCAAGGGCTAAATCGCCCGAGCCCCTGTGTATTTTTGTCACTGGTCCTACTTGTAGCTACTGGCTCCCTCTATATAGAAAAATTCCCCAATCGGTGCCTGTTGGTCCCCCATGATCCTCTTTTTCTTATGTTAGTTGAGAGCTGAGTTAATGAGATAGCCACCTGTCAGTGACCTCGCTGTGTGGTCTAATCCCTTCTGGCCCACTAGTATTGACGGTCTTTAAGTGCTTTGCTTTCATGTTCCATGTACTGGAAAGTTATGTTCAACTACCCCTTTTTCTCCCACCCCAACCCTTCGTCCCCCATCAACTCCTACCTGTAGTTTGGGGCTTTATTGATAATAGATATGAAATAAATTATGAGACCTCTGGGATGTATTCACTATTTTATAGAAAAAATGGTACATGAACCGGTAATTGGAAATATGCTAAACCACCATTGCAACCGTGCACTTTCTTTTGGATATAGACAGTGTATAAGTTCCCCTATACCAGGCTAGTCTAAAGAGGGGTTCCTTAAAATGATTTGTAAATACTGTTCACATTGCCAAGACTATACCGTTTCACAGACCAAACCTACACTTTGATGGCCTGTGGGTATGGCTCATCTACTCCTGACAACTAACCAGGTTATAACACACCCAAATATATATGGAATGGCAAGCTTGCTTCTAAAGGTTATACTGTTTTTGTGCCAAAAATCAAGTTTCTGAATTTCGTCTGGTAAAACTCGTCACACATTTGACCCACATAATTTGAAGATTTTCTGCACCCCTTCCTGTGATCGGACGATGTTTAAAATGATTTTCGTCTTCCCCCCTCTGTCAGCCAGAAGATCTTTTATTTTCTACAAATCTGTCAAAACAGTTGAGAATCGGATGGAAAGAAAAACAAGTTGTGACATCTGTATGTCACAATGCAGCCAGGCTGTAATCCTTCAACACAGTTTTCTCTCAAAGGAGAAACGGGTACACCGCATGAACATGTTATTTTCGGTCGGCTCGAGCAAAAACAGAGACTACACAATACTTTATGTAGTATGTAACCAGGAATACCTCCTTTCCAACTATAAAAGACAGTGGTGCGTGCCATAATCATCTTTGACAGTACTTTTATATACATGTATAACTGACTACATGATTTGGTTTTTTGTAATTTTAACAAATTAATTTGTGTGTTTATGGCTATCAATACTAATTATCTGAATTGGACAATATACACAGCACTGGTCAAGGTAGACA